GCCCACCGCGATGGCCATCATCAGCTCTGCGAGCTGGCGACCTCGGTGAACATGCTGCAAATCGGCCAAGCACTTCCTCATGCTGAGAAAGTCGGACCCCTCCTCGAGGCCACCTCCGCAGAAATGCTCCGCGGCTGCACGCCACTGCCTGCGCGCAAGTGAATCCACGAACTCCGAGATGAGCGGGACGGCCTGGTCCATCGCACAGAAGTCGGTACTGCTGAAATTCCAGCAGTGCCTGTCCTGAGAAATGTCACTCGTCGTATCCCACTCTGTCGCCGAAATTGGATTCCAGCCAGCGCGCAGTAGGTAGGTGGTAACCGCTGAAACAGGCCCGCGTACATAGCGAGAGCGATCGATCTCAGCCATACTGCTAAGCTGCTTGACGAGACGCGGCCACACTCGGACGACTCCTGAACGGATCCGAGGTTCTGAAAGCCAAACTTGAAACCACTGCTCGAGGCACTGCTTGGATAAACTAACCCTGGGTCGCCGTCGGGAAGACGCAGGGCTAACAGCGACGTGGTGCAGCGCCCGCGACGCAGAGAGCCCGCGGCGGCGGCCAGGCGCCGCCGCTGGATCACCATGCCGCTGCCGTGGACCCCGTACACCTGATGCCCGTAGGTGGAGGCCGCCCGTGGGCCCGCCCTCTGAAGCTTCGCCGTGGAGACAAAGCGGACGCACGGGCGAACCGCTTAACGAGGACGTGGATCGAGGGTTCCGCCTGCTCACCTCCGGTGCTCCTGCCACGCTCCCATGGCTGTCGGGGGGGCCTCATTCGCGCTGGGGTGGCAGGAACCCTACGCACAGGGCCCCGCGGTGCCGCCACCCGTGAGAGAGGCACCGCCGCCATCTCGTGCCCTTCTTATGCGCCATTGCACCGCTATTAGGGCTCATGGAGGATACGCCCACGTAGGAAGCCTCTGCAGGCAAGTAGTTGACGTAGTTTGGATTCTTAGGGTCGCTCTGGTGGCGGCCACCATTTTGAGCCAGAGTGGCTGTCTCAAGTGTTACCGTTTTGGTGCCGTGCACTTTCCCTTCGGGTCAACAAAAAGTATGTCAACACGAATGTGTGTACCCTCCTTTGAAATGCCCGACGTCTGCTGCCATTTGGGCTCAGGCGCTCGGCCGATTTGCAGAAACCACCCATCACCCTGGGGCACCAAGCTCTTGGGGGTGGCTGGAACCCTGCGCACAGGGCCTCGCGGTACCGCCACCCGTTAAAAAGCATCACCGCCATGTCGTGCCCCTCTTTTACCGCCGTCGCACCGCTTTTGGGGCTCATCGAGGGTATCACAAGATTCCCCAATTCCGCCAGGAGCACGGGTCCTTTCCCAGAGGAGCGAGCCCTTCTCCCAGACATGCACCTCTCGCCAGAGGGAGGGGCTCCCGCTCGAGACTTCTTCGCGATCCACTCGCAGGCGAGTCTCCCGCTCGAGACATCCTCCAGATTCAGGCTTCGGGAGCCGAACAATGAAGACGGTTACAGGTATTCCGATGACCCGGCATGGAGGTGGGGACCTCAAATGGGGGGGGCTCCCGCTCGAGACGTGCTCGCGATCCACTCACAGGCGGGACTCCCGCTCGAGACATCCTCCAGGGGAGCCCCGAAGCGACGACAGTTACGTGACTTGTTCGGGCTCGGGGACCCCATAGGAAGGGGTTCCCGATCGAAACGTCCTCTCGATTTAGTGATTGGCGTGGCTTCCGCTCGAGACATCCTCCGGATTCAGGCATCAGGAACCCCAAAGTGAGGACAGTTGCGCATATTCCAATGACCCTCTCTGATTCGATTTTGGAGGTGGGGACCCCACAGGGGGGGGGGGCTCCCGCTCGAGAGGTCCTCGCGATTCACTCACAGGGATGATGATGATGATGATGATGATGATGATGATGATGATGATGATGATGATGATGATGATGATGATGATGATGATGATGATGATGATGATGATGATGAGGCGAAGAAGGTTGATGATGATGCTGATGATGATGATGTTGATGCTGCTGATGATGCTGATGCTGATGATGATGCTGACGATGCTGATGCTGATGATGATGCTGATGCTGACGACGATGGTGATGATCTTAGTGATGGTGATGATCTTTGTGGTGATGATGACGATGATGACGACGTTGATGAGGCTGATGGTGATCATGACGAAGATGCTGATGGTGATGCTGCTGATGATGAAGAGGTTGATGATGCTGATGACGATGTTGATGATGATGATGCTGATGCTGCTTCCGATTATGATAATGATGATGGTACTGCTACTGATGGTGATGCTGATGATATTGTGGTTGATGATGCTGCTGATGCTGATGATGATCATGGTGATGGTGATGATGATGATGATGATGATGATGATTCTGCTGTTGATGCTGACGATGCTGATGATGCTGATGATGAGATTACAATGATGACTATGACTATGGTGATGACTATGATGATGCTTCTGATGATGATGATGATGATGATGATGATGATGATGATGGTCATGCTGCTGATGATGATGATGATGCTGAGGATGCTGCTGATGCTGACGATGATGATGATGGCAAGGGTGATGATGGTGATGATGCTGTTGATACTGATGATGATGTGATGATGCTGATGCTGCTGATGATGCTGCTGCTGATGATGACTCTGATGATGCTGCTGCTGATGATGACGATGCTCATGATGATCATGATGATGATTATGCTAATGATGCTGCTGATGCTGGTGATGATGCTGCTGCTGATGACGATGATGCTGCTGATGACAATCATAATGATGATGATGCTGGTGGTGATGGTGGTGATGGTGATGGTGTAGGTGATGCTGATGTTGATTCCGGTGATGCTGGTTTTGATGATGCTGATGCTGGTGATGATGCTGCTGCTGATGAAGACGATGCTGCAGATGATGCAGATGATAATGCTGATGATGATGCTGCTGCTGATGAGCATGCTGATACGGATTATGATGATGATGATGCTGATGCTGCTGCTGCTGCTGATGATGATGATGATGATGCTGATGCTGAATGTTATGCTGTTGATGATGATACTGCTGAGGCGATCATGATGGGGGTGGTGAGGATGGTGGTGGTAGTGATACGGAAGAGGAGGATCAGACGGAGGAGGATGAGAAGAATAGAAGGAGGAGGACGAAGAGGTTGATGCGGCTGTTGCTGATGATCATGCTATGATGATGAGTCGGAGTTGTATGAGAAGGATGAGGGTGAGGGGAATGCGGGAGGAGAAAGAGGTGGAGGAGGAGCAGCAACAGCAGAGTGAGTCTGGGGCGAATACCTGGGAGCTTGATGAAGAGGAGGGTGAGGAACGTCAATGCGGACGATGAGGATTAAGAGGAGGCGGAGGAGGAGGAGGGTAGGAGGACGAGCGCGTGTGGAGGAAAGGATGAGGGGGAGGAGGAGAAGGCGGACGATGAGGAGGAGGACCAGTGTAAGCCCAAGAATCATCAACGATGTTGGAATTACCCCTCCCTCCAAGCTCCCTCTTTTGAGACCCCTACAACGGTTCATTTCCATTGAGGGAACTGCCTCGTTGGAAGACAACCGTTTGAAGACCTTGAAGCATGCCGAAACATTGTTCTCTGGATTTTTAACGCCACGTATCAGCTTGTCTGCTGCGTCAACACCGCGAATCAACGTAACTGTTGCACCCGCAAAATCTGGAATCCTTCCGACACACCATTGCTGGTACATTGACCACGGGAATCCGCCAAATTCTTGCAAATTTTAAAGACGAATGTGCGCGGCGCTAAGGCGAGAGCCACATTTCGACAAGGAACCGCCCTCAATCCGTGAAGCTCCTGCAATTTTTCAAAATGAATATACGCGGCGCTAAGGCGAGAGCCACATTTTGACCCCCCCCCCCGCCCTGAATCGGTGAAACCCCTGCAAATTTTTGAAGCGAACGTGCGCGGCGCTGAGGCGAGAGCCACATTTTGAAAACCACCCGCCCTCAATCCGTGAAGCTCCTGCAAATTTTTAAAGCGAATGTGCGCGGCGCTAAGGCGAGAGCCACATTTTGAAAACCACCCGCCCTCAATCCGTGAAGCCCTGGGTTTTTTGTTGTTGAAAAAGCGAATGTGCGCGGCGCTGAGGCGAGAGCCACATGTTGAAAACCACCCGCCCTCCATCCATGAAGCTCTTGCAAATTTTCTAAACGAATGTGCGCCGCGCCAAGGCGAGAGCCACAATATGAAAACCGTCTGCCCTCAATCCGTGAAGCTCGTGCACATGATTAACGAAGGTGCGCGGTGTTTAGACGAGAGCCATATTTTGAAAACCACCCGCCCTCCATCTGTGAAGCTGTTGTTACTTTTTAAGCTTCAGTGTTATGAATGGTGAGGAAGTCTCAGGCGGGACGCCTGGCCCGCCCTTTTCACTGGCCTCGTGGTGCAACAGGGAGAAGTTATCTATAAGGAAGAGGAATGGAGGAGGAGGAGGAGGAGGAGGAGGAGGAGGAGGAGGAGGAGGAGGAGGAGGAGGAGGAGGAGGAGGAGGAGAGGGAAGGAGGAGGATGAGGAGGAGGGAAGAAGAGGAGGAGGACGAGGTGGAGGAGAAGGACTAGGAGGAGGAGGAGGAGGAAGGAGGAGGATGAGGAGGAAGTCGGAGGATGATGAGGAAGGATGACGAGGAGGAACGAATGAGGAGAGGGGTAAGGAGGATGAGGAGGATAAGGAGGAGAGCAGAGGAGGAGAAGGAGGGATCACGAGGAGGAGGAGGAGGAGGAGGAGGAGGAGGAGGAGGAGGAGGGAGGAGGAGGAGGAGGAGGAGGAGGGAGGAGGAGGAGGAGAGGAGGAGGAGGAGGAGGAGGAGGGAGGAGGAGGAGGAGGAGGAGGAGGAGGAGGAGGGGGAGCAAGAGGGAGAGAAGTGAGGGAGGCAGGGCACCTGGTCGCGGCCGCCGCCGTGGTCGCCTTCGCCGCCGCCGCCCCCTTTGGGGAGAGGGGGGCGCGCTGCAGCCCCGGCCCCGTCGCCCGCCAGGGCCCGGCCTGAGCGTAAGCGCGCCAAGGAGTACAGCCCCGGGTGGGGGCGCTCGGCGGGAAGCGGCCCCTGTCGAGGCATCGTCGGCGCTCCCTCGAGGAGCAGGGGTGGGGGGATGAGGAGAGGGGGGAGGGGCGAGGAGGGGAGGTAGGAGGAGGGAGGAGGAGGGAGGAGGGGGAGAGAGGGAGGGAGAGGGGAGGACGATCAGCAGGATGGAGAGAAGGAGACTCCCTCCTCCTCCCTTCCTCCTCCTCCTCCTCCTCCTCCTCCCCTCCTCCTCCTCCTCCTCCTCCTCCTCTTCCTCTTACTCGTCCCCACTCCTGCCTCCTCCTCCCCCCTTTTCCCTCCTCTCCTCCTCCTTATCCATCCATCTCCTCCATTCGCCCACTCCGCCATCCTCCTCTCTTCCCCATCCTGCATCCTCCGATTTGTCCTCCTTGATCCTCCTCCAATATCCTCCGTCCTCGTTCTCCGTTTCCTCCCCTCTGTTCCTCCTCCCTCCTTCTCTTGCTTCATCCTCTCTCCCTCCTCGTCCTCCTCTCCCTCCTGCTCGTCGTCGTCGTCGTCCTCCTCCACCTCCTCCTCCTCCTCCTCCTCCTCGAACGGTAGATTTTCATGTTAGAGGCATGTGTAGCATGGCAGTTGTGCAGGGTGCAGAAGGTCTTCTCCCCCTTGTCCGAGGGACCGTTGCATAAGCTTGGGGCTATTCGCTGTTGGTTCTTCGGGTCATGATCGTCGACGTTACCTGCGCGCTCCCTGCTTCAGAGCAGACCTGGATCCTTATCTGTACTCCTCTTAACGATCGTAGAGTCGGCAGTGCGCAGTACAGTGAACGACGAGGTCTTTCGCCACTATGTGGCGGGGTGCTCCGAGTGCAGCTAGCCTTCCAGTCACGCGACAGAAGAGAATACCCTATGTGCTGATGAGGAGGAGCACGCCAGGGACACATACCCACGACGGTTTCGAGGATCACTACCAGAACGCCGCCGTTGGTGGGTACCAGGGCTGTCGCTTCCTCGACGCCCGGAGGGGCTCCACTCCGGATGGAAGGCCATCGGAGTGGGCGTGGTCGCTGCCATGGGCTGCGTCTTCTGCGTGGATGCGTGCGGCGGTTGCAGCGGCAACATGCGGCGCCTCCGCGCCTGGGGGCCCGAGCAGCAGGCTCCTGTGCCCTTCCAGCACTGGGTATGGGAAGTGATGACTTGGCCACTGGCGAACTTCGACCTCAACGAATTCCGCCAGGCGGCCTACATTTCGTCTCGCTCGACCGGAATGGCCCGTGAGTGCGTGGACGAGTGGCCGCAAGCTGGCCTTGTCCAAGGTGGTTATATCAACGGCAACCCAGTGCAGCCTCTGACCCACCTTATGCTCGGCGCGGCCGAAAAGTGGGGCTAGTTCAGAGTGGAGGAGCGCGCGCATGCGGTAGCGGCTCTGATGAACTTCAACCGACTGCCACAAGAGCGCGTTCACAATTTCCCGACCAGGCTCGACATCTCCCGCAACATGGCGCAGCGGGCCGGACGACTCATGATCGGCTACGAGGGCCTGAGCTACTACCTCTTGCTGCGCGCGGTGGGTGCCCTCGGGGAGGCGGCGAGTCCGCCCGCGGCGTCAGCTACCGCAAATGCAGGCTCAGCGGCAGCGTGGGCTGCGTGCCCGGCAGCAGGTCTGGACTCTGGCATCGATTCCGACGTCGTCAGCTCACTCGGCGAAGAACTCGCAGCCGACGACCCGGAACTGCCCGAAGTTCCTGTCGGGCAGCGCGGCGCGTGAATCTTCTGGGCCTGCCAGCGCGCCAAGTTCCGATGGCGCCGCTTCAAAACAACTTGCCCACGCGCCGCGCGCGGAGGGTCATCGAGCGCAAGGGCAAGGGCCGCGGAAAATGCCGCCGCGCCTTCCTGGCCGACTTGTCCGAGGCTGACCTCCGCGCGACCTGCGCCGGCGGCTTCGGGAAAGGCATGGGCAAGGGGAATGGGCGGGCTTCGAACGCGCGGACTGGGATTCGGCCGACAGGGCAACCCACTGGGCCCAGATGGGGCAGGTCTCAAGTGCCACGAGTGAGACTCAGGGGAGCACCTCGCGTGCGACTGTCCCCGGCGTCGCCGGCGAGGGCGCGCCCTCTTCCCCGGCGCCCCAGCTTTAGTTGTGCAGCCACCGCCGACGTCAGCATCCCGGCCATGTGCGCACCCGGGGCACCGCGGAGCGCCTGGGCCAGCCGCTCAACAACCAGCACCAGGTAGGTGCCTGCTCGGTCTGGATGACCAGGGAAACCAGCCGGCTGCCCGAACCTTTGTTTCTGGGTCCCGACAGCGGTGGCCCCATGCAGGGCGCCGGTCCCTGCGGCGGCGGCCAGCCAATTCCAGCTTCGGCGACTACGCGGCCAGCGCCAGCTGCAGCGACTGCTTCGTTAGGCGGATCCTGGCATGCAGCTGGACAGAGCCGTTGCAAGTTGGGTGGGCACTTCATCGTCTCAGATTCGCCCAACCTTCATGAGGACGAACTTCTGCGATCACGCTATAAGATGGACGACCTCGTGGGCCGCGCGCGACAAGACTATGCTCAACATACGGATAGGGCAACACTGTTGCCAGTCCGCGCGGCAGGAGCGGGGGTCGCAGCAGCTGCGGCTTCCCCGGCTCCGGTGGCACCCGCAGCGCCGCCATAGCCGACGCCGCAGCGATGGGCCAGAATGGTTGGTGCTTTCCCGCAGGGGCCACAGCAAGGGCGCGATTGGATAAGCGGCATCAATGCCCGAGCCGCTGTGCCAGCTGCCGCGCTTGCCGCTGTGCAGTTGCCGAGCTGGTCTTGTGTGCCATCAGTCTCGGCACTCGGCGTCAGCGCGCCATGGGGGTCGAGCTCCGCGTGGCCGCCGCAGCCCGCGCTGGTCGCCGCGTCGCCGCCGGTGCCGGAGTCTCCCAACGCTCTGGCTCCTGTCAACCACGGCGTCTCCATTGACGTGGGCCAGCTATCTGAAACAAGTGGCACGTGTGCCATGGCTCTTGCACAATAAGGAAGGGGCGCGCTGGCTGCTTGTGGGTGGGTGGGGGGGGGGGGGGGGGCGTAAGAAAGGGGGGGGGCGCGCTGGCTGGTGTGGTGGGGGGGGGGGGGGGGGCGCGGAGGGCGCGCTGGGGCGCGCGGGGAGGAAGTGGGGGCCGTGCAGAAAAAGGTGTCGCGGGGCGGAGGGGGCGCGCTGGCTGGTGGGTGGAGAGGATGCGGATGGGGTGTGCCGTGCCGAAGATAAAGGGGTCGGGGCGGAGGGGCGGAGGGGTGTGCCGTGCCGAAATAAAGGATTCGGTGCGGAGGGGCGCGCTGGCTGGCGGGTGTGGGGGGGATGCGGAGGGGGTGTGCGTTGCCGAAATAAAGAAGTCGGGGCAGAGGTGTGCTGTGCCGAAATACAGGTGTCGGGGCGGAGGGCGCGCCGGCTGGTGGGTGGGGGGGCGTGCGGATGGGGTGTGCCGTGCCGAAATAAAGGGGTCTGGGCGGAGGGGTGTGCCGTGCCGAAATAAAAAGGGTTCGTGGAGGAGGGGTGTGCCGTGCCGAAATAAAGGGGTCGGGGCGGAAGTGGCGCGCTGGCTGGTGGGTGGGGGGATGCGGGCCCGTGCCGAAATAAAAGGGGTCGGGGCGGAAGGGTGCGCGAGCAAGTGGGTGGGGGGGTGCGGAGGCGGTGTGCCGTGCCGATATAGAGGGGTCGGGGCGGAGGGGTGTGCCGTGCCCAAATAAAAGGGGTCGGGGCGGAGAGGCGGGCTGGCTGGCGGGTGCGAGGGGGGGATGTTGAGGGGGTGTGCCGTGCCGAAATCTTGGTGGGGTCGGGGCGGAGAGGTGTGCCGTGCCGAAATAAAGGTGTCGGGGCGGAGGGGCGCGCTGGCTGGTGGGTGGGCGGGGGGTGTGCGGAGTGGGGTGTGCCGTGCCGAAATAGAAGGGGTCGGAGCCGGAGGGGTGTTCGTGCCGAAAATAAAGGGGTCGAGGCGGAGGGGCGCGCTGGCTGGTGGGTGGGGGGGATGCGGACGGGGTGTGCCGTGCCGAAATAGAAGGGGTCGGGGCGGAGGGGTGTGCCGTGCCGAAATGAAGGGGTCGGGGCGGAGGGGCGCGCTGGCTGGTGGTTGAAGGGATGCGGAGGCAGTGTGCCGTGCCGAAATAAAGGGGTCGGTGCGGAGGGGTGTGCCGTGCCGAAATAAATGGGTCGGGGCCGAGGGGCGCGCTGGCTGGTGGAATGTGTGGGTGATGGAGGGGGTGCCGAGCCGAAATAAAGTGGTCGGAGCTCTAGACACCCTGTGCAAGAAAAAAACGGAGTCGGGGGCGGAAGGGCGCGCTGGGCTGGTGGGGGGACGTAGGGTGTGGTCCGTGCCGAATAGAGGGGTCGGGCAGGGAGTGGTGCCGTGCCGAAATAAAAAGGGCGGGGCGGGGGGCGCGCTGCTGGTGGCGGGGTGGGGGGGTGCGTAGGGGGCGTGCCGTGCCGAAAAATAAAAAAGGGGTCGGGGCTGAGGGTTGTGCCGTGCCGAAAGAAGATTCGGGCAGAGCGGGGCGCGTTTGGCTGTGGGTGGGAGGGGGGTAGTAGCGTCGGGGGTGTGCCGTGGCCGGAATACAGTGGTGGTCGGGCGGAGGGTGTGCCGTGCCAAAAAAGAGGTCCGGGCGGGGGGGTGCCGTGCCGAAATAAAAAGGGGTCGGGATGAAGGGGGCGCTGGCTGGTGGGTGGGGTGGGGGTGGGCGGAGGGGTGTGCCGTGCCGAAATAAAAGGGTCGGGGCGGAGGGG